ATCAGGTGAGGAAACGCTCTGAAACACACACACACACACATCAGGTAAGGAAACGCTGATTCAGACTCTACACACACGTCTCACACACGGTGAGGAAACGCTGATTCAGACTGTTCACAGACACACACACACACACACACATCAGGTGAGGAAACGCTCTGAAACACACACACACACACACACACACATCAGGTGAGGAAACGCTCTGAAACACACACACACACACACACACACACACACATCAGGTGAGGAAACGCTCTGAAACACACACACACACACATCAGGTAAGGAAACGCTGATTCAGACTCTACACACACGCCTCACACACGGTGAGGAAACGCTGATTCAGACTGTTCACAGACACACACACACACACACACATCAGGTGAGGAAACGCTCTGAACACACACACACACACACACACACACACACACACATCAGGTGAGGAAACGCTCTGAAACACACACACACACACACACACACACACATCAGGTGAGGAAACGCTCTGAAACACACACACACACACACATCAGGTGAGGAAACGCTCTGAAACACACACACACACACACACACACACACACACACACACACACATCAGGTGAGGAAACGCTCTGAAACACACACACACACACACACACACACACACACATCAGGTGAGGAAACGCTCTGAAACACACACACACACACACACACACACACACACACACACACACACACACACACATCAGGTGAGGAAACGCTCTGAAACACACACACACACACACATCAGGTGAGGAAACGCTCTGAAACACACACACACACACACACATCAGGTAAGGAAACGCTGATTCAGACTCTACACACACGTCTCACACACGGTGAGGAAACGCTGATTCAGACTGTTCACAGACACACACACACACACACACACACATCAGGTGAGGAAACGCTCTGAAACACACACACACACACACACATCAGGTGAGGAAACGCTCTGAAACACACACACACACACACATCAGGTGAGGAAACGCTCTGAAACACACACACACACACACACACACACACACACACACACACACACACACACACATCAGGTGAGGAAACGCTCTGAAACACACACACACACACACACACACACACATCAGGTGAGGAAACGCTCTGAAACACACACACACACACACACACACACACACACACACACACACACACACACACACACACACACACACATCAGGTGAGGAAACGCTCTGAAACACACACACACACACACATCAGGTGAGGAAACGCTCTGAAACACACACACACACACACACATCAGGTAAGGAAACGCTGATTCAGACTCTACACACACGTCTCACACACGGTGAGGAAACGCTGATTCAGACTGTTCACAGACACACACACACACACACACACACATCAGGTGAGGAAACGCTCTGAAACACACACACACACACACACATCAGGTGAGGAAACGCTCTGAAACACACACACACACACACATCAGGTGAGGAAACGCTCTGAAACACACACACACACACACACACACACACACACACACACACACACACACACACACACACACACACACACATCAGGTGAGGAAACGCTCTGAAACACACACACACACACACATCAGGTGAGGAAACGCTCTGAAACACACACACACACACATCAGGTGAGGAAACGCTGATTCAGACTCTACACACACGCCTCACACACGGTGAGGAAACGCTGATTCAGACTGTTCACAGACACACACACACACACACACATCAGGTGAGGAAACGCTCTGAAACACACACACACACGGTGAGGAAACGCTGATTCAGACTGTGCTCTTATGGGTGTGTGACCCCAGACTGGAGAGAAGCTGATTCATCTAATGTGAGGAGAGGAATGACATCAGAGGAAGTGACATCAACAGCCGGTTCTGACCGGATCGAGAAGACAAACATGTGACTCGCCTGATGTTGCGTTACAGTGGCCGGGAATGAACCACCTGAACACGCTCCGTTTTAAAGGGACAGTTCTGTGTTTATCACTGCGAGCAGGAACGAGGAACTCGAGTGTGAACACGGCTGAGACTGAGATGAGACTGGCTCTGAGTCTGATTGTTACAACACTTCTATGGGGTAGCTTGTGTACCGTGTGTGTGTGTGAGAGAGACACTGTGCGAGTGTGTGACACACAGTGTGAGTGTGTGTGTGAGTGAGACACTGTGTGTGTGAGTGTGTGTGTGTGAGACTGTGTGTGCGTGTGTGTGTGTGTGAGTGTGAGAGAGAGATATAGAGTGTGTGTGTATGTGTGTGTGTGTGAGAGAGAGAGACTGTGTGTGTGTGTGTGTGTGTGTGTGTGAGAGAGAGAGAGAGAGAGAGAGAGAGAGAGAGAGAGAGAGAGAGTGTGTGTTGTGTGTGTGTGTGTTGTGAGAGAGAGAGAGACTGTGTGTGTGTGTGTGTGAGAGGGAGAGAGAGAGACTGTGTGTGTGTGTGTGAGAGACACTGTGTGAGTGTGTGTGTGTGTGTGTGTGTGTGTGTGTGTGTGTGTGGTGTGAGAGAGAGAGAGAGAGAGAGAGAGAGAGAGAGAGAAGAGAGAGAGAGAGAGAGAGAGATAGTGTGTGTGTGTGTGTGCATACCTTAGCAACTGCCTAGCAACCACCCAGAACACCCTAGCAACCGCCCAGAACACCCTAGCAACCACCCAAAATACCTTAGCAACCGCCTAGCAACCACCCAGAACACCCTAGCAACCCACCCAAAATACCTTAGCAACCACCCAGAACACCTTAGCAACCCACTAGAAACACCCTAGCAACTTTAAATTACTTCAAACTATACTTTAACCTTTAAACTACTTTAACTTCAAACTACTTTAAACTTCTTCAAACTTTCTGGTCAAAAATTTCACAAGCTAACTTAAAGTTTGTCTCGACGAACTTTTTAATCTAGTCATACACACACACAGACACACACACACACGTGTGTGTGTGAGTGTGTGTGAGTGTGTGAGTGTGTGTGTGAGTGTGTGTGGCACGTACTCTGCTGTTTCTCCTTCCAGCAGTTGTTCCTGAGGTTGGAGATGTAGTCGTCCTCGACGCTGTTCTCCACGCGCTTCAGACTCGAGCCCTTGAACTCCTGAGAGAAAACGCTCGTTCACGTAAAACGTCACGCCCAGATTCTCCGTCACGCGTTTGTGTGTGTGACCCGCTGACCTGCGCACACACACGGACACGGACACGTTAATCATGGGGCGCTTTAGGGAGACAGTGAAACACACAGAGAAGGAAAAACTGCATGAATTACGGTCATATTTTGAATTAATTTTAATTTAATATTTTGTTTTGATTTTTTAGTATTTCAGCAAACTAAACTGAAACTAGCTGAGATGTTTTTTACATCTGATTTGCACTTAATGTTTATTTTATTTCAAGTAATGACATTGTTTTTATGGTTTCAGCTTTAATATTAGTTAACGATAATGACCCAGCTTGTAAACAGCAGTTACAGCGTTCTCTAAAGACTCAGATCTCAGGTCAGGGTCAGAGGTCAGAGGTCACAGGCTTCATGCACACGGAGTGTGAAGCAGCAGCTGAGCGACTGTCCACTCCATGAGAATCATTCAGGGTCAAAGGTCGAGAGTCCACAGGCTCTCCAGACTCTCTCAGCCAATCAGACGAGATCTCACATGATTGACAGAATGCACCAGTGTTTTAAATTAGGAAGCAACATAAAATAAATCAAAAGTTACATTTACATTAGCTATTCACTGTCCATAAACGTCTAGAATAAATTAGGAGCATTTTGCCTAAAATTGTAAAATATTATATGCACAATACTCCATATTCATTATATTTTTACGTAACCTGTAATTGTTGTGTTCACGCTAGCAACATGTTGAAACATTTTAACAAGATGTGCTAAATCATGCTAGAAAAATGCTAGCAACATGATAAAACAATGTTAGCAAATGTGTTACTTCATGCTAGAGAAACATGCTAACATCATACCTAATCATGCTAACATGTTAAAACATGATAGCAATGCACAGATTAATGCTACAGACATGATAGCAAAGTGCTAAATCATGCTGGCAAAAGCTAAAACGTGTTTGCAATGTAAATCATTCAAGTTGAAACGTACAGCTAAATCATACTTAGAAATATGCTAAAACATGTTAGCAATGTGCTAGTTGTGCTAGAAACATGTTAGCAATGTGCCATTTTTTATACTAGAAACATGTTAGCAACGTGTTAAATCACATTAGAAAACATTCTAGTAACATATAAAAATATGTTAGCAATGCGTTACTTCATGCTAGAAACATGCAATGTGACAAATCATGTTAAAACTTGCTAGCAAACTGTAACTTCATACTAGAAACATGCCTAAATCACATTTTGAATCATGCTAAAACATGTTTGCAATGTTAAATCATTCAAGCTACATGTTGAAACACGTACAGCTAAATCATACTAGAAATATGCTAAAACATGTTAGCAATGTGCTATTTGTGCTAGAAAACATGTTAGCAATGTTGCCATTTTATACTAGAAACATGCTAGCAACGTGTTAAATCATACTAGAAACATGTTAGCAACGTGTTAAATCATACTAGAAACATGTTAGCAACGTGTTAAATCATACTAGAAACATGCAATGTGATAAATCATGTTAAAAAAAAGCTAAAAACATGCTAAAACATGTTTGCAATGTTAAATCATTCAAGCTACATGTTGAAACGTACAGATAAATCATACTAGAAAAATTGCTAAAACATGTTAGCAATGTGCTATTTGTGTTAGAAACATGTTAGCAATGTGCCATTTCTATACTAGAAACATGCTAGCAGCGTGTTAAATCATATTAGAAACATTCTAGCAACATATAAAAACATGTTAGCAATGCGTTACTTCATGCTAGAAACATGCAATGTGACAAATCATGTTGAAAAAAGCTAAAACATGTTTGCAATGTTAAATCATTCAAGCTACATGTTGAAACACGTACAGCTAAATCATACTAGAAATATGCTAAAAGATGTTAGCAATGTGCTATTTGTGCTAAAACTTGTTAGCAATGTACCATTTATATACTAGAAACATGCTAGCAACGTGTTAAATCATACTAGAAACATGTTAGCAACGTGTTAAATCATACTAGAAACATGCATGTTGATAAATCATGTTAAAAAAAAGCTAAAACATGCTAAAACATGTTTGCAATGTTAAATCATTCAAGCTACATGTTGAAACGTACAGCTAAATCATACTAGAAAAATGCTAAAACATGTTAGCAATGTGCTATTTGTGTTAGAAACATGTTAGCAATGTGCCATTTTTATACTAGAAACATGCTAGCAGCGTGTTAAATCATATTAGAAACATTCTAGCAACATATAAAAACATGTTAGCAATGCGTTACTTCATGCTAGAAACATGCAATGTGACAAATCATGTTGAAAATGCTAAAACATGCTAGCAATCTGTTACTTCATACTAGAAACATGCCTAAATCACATTTTGAATCATGCTAAAACATGTTAACAACTTGACAAAAACATGCTAACAATGTGCTAGAATAGAGTAAAATCTTCAAATTAGTTAATGTTAGCTAGTTAATGTGCACTACGTTTATTACAGTGTTTATTCATCTCCGTTTACATGTTCATCTCAGCTCAGGTCCATTAAATAATATTAACAGATGGAACATAAGAATTTAATAAAGTACTAGTAAAATTAAAAATTAACTTAGATTAATAAGTGCGTGTTCATGTTAACTAATGACTAATTAACAAATGAAGCCTTTATCCATGTAACGCATGTTTGAATAAATCTCTCATGAAAACAAGTTTATATTACAGTCACAGTTCAAATGTTTATATTTCAAAAACAAATTAATATATATTTAAAAAACGTATTATTTGGTGTTGATTATTAAATGAAGTTTATTTTTGGGTTTTCGGCTAAAGGAAAACTTTAATTTGATCAGTGACTGAAGCAGTTTCTGAAACTGCAGATCAGGGTCCAGAACGCGACCTCTGACCCCACGGCCCGCACCGGCTCGTCACAGCATCAGTCCTGCTATTGGTTGGTGTGCCGTCGTCACGGCGACCCTGCGTGGACCGGCACCGTCTCGGCACTGGAGCGGATCAATGCACTCCTGACGCCTCACAGCGATGTGCAAACACTGCACTTCATATCAAAGCTATGACATCGAGAAAGCAGCGTAATAATTTCTGGGTCACTCATTAAATGTGAGTGCATGTTCACTGATAATGTGACGAAAGGTCAAGATGTTCACATGCTCAGTGCCACTCATTTGCATATTTAATAAGTTACCTACAATTAGAATTCATTTTATGCACAAGTTTTTATACACATTTTTTTATGCTGCGGTTTCATTTCATATATGCATACATAATATAATATACATTTAATTTAATATAACATAAGATAATAATATAAATTAAATGTATTAATTGAATATAATACAGCATAATATAGTATAGCATAATATAATATATATATTACTGCTGTCAAATCGATTAATCATGATTAATTGCATCTAACTAAAATGATTTATTATTATATTAAATTATATATATAAGTGTGTGTGTGTGTGTGTGTGTGTGTAACATTTTTATGTAAAGCATTTTGAATGACTATTTGCATATAAAATGTGCTATACAAATGCTCTTGGTCCTGTAATGAGAATGAAGTTTAGATAGGAAATCTTCATGTAACTCTATTGATTCTGACAACACGAGTGCTGAAGAAATCTGATGTGCAAATGTGAGTATTGGAAGAGCAAAAGAGCAACGGTGCGGTTTAAAGTGCCTGGAGATGCAGTGTGAAAGTAGATAAAGAGAGAGTGACAGCGGGAGAGATAGAGAGAGATATGGTAGAACAGAGAGAGAGAGAGAGAGAGAGAGAGAGAGAGAGAGAGAGAGAGAGAGAGAGAGAGAGAGAGATATACGGTAGAAC